GTCGCTGAGAGAAAATAATATTTATTTTTCTCAGATTGTTTGTTTTGATAAAATATTTGAACCGGAAAATTGGAAATGAAAGTTTCCTCTTTATTTCCAAATGAAATTTTTCCTGGATCGTTATTTTACTATTTATTTGGCAATACTTCAAACGGTATATTTAGACATAATAAGTTTATTATTGAGATTATGTTTGCTAATCGTTCCTTAATTGCATATTAACTATATTCATTAAAAGAATATTAGTGCTGTTATTATTTTTTAAAATTTATAAAACTGATTTATGATAGCAGAAGTCTTTTTTTTTTGGTTTATTTTGGCGTGGTCTAACGACAGAGATCTGCGAGTAAAGGCCTCTCAAGGGAGCCTGAAAACCTGCATACAAGTAGTGCTGTATAATGTTATTTCCGGAGTGGATATCTTCTTTCATCGATATCTCACACTTTCCTACTCTCCCTTCTGCCTTCAATTTATAATGAAAAGTAGTTCGCCTAGGTTTAAATTTATTTTAATCGTATTTAATTTAATTATTATGTACGGTAAATAGACATTTAGATGTGTAGAATGACAAATATTGAAACTACCATATACTCATAGAACAAACAGAATAGTGAATAGATTTGATGGCATTTTTAGGTTTATTTTGTGGACTGACTTAACATATCTCGGTATTCATTTCGACGGACATTTATAATTTACTAGACATTTTATCAAAAAAATTAAAACAGTATGATCTAAGGCGTACAGACACCAAAAGTTAATTCGGACAACAAACCTATCTTTACGCCTAAAGCCTCTGTTCAAACATGTCAGCAAAACAACTGGGAAAAGATTACAATATTTCCAAAATGGAGTAATTAGAAACATTGTAAGAGGAACCACGCTGCAGAGAAAGAAGACATTGGATATACAAGCAACACTAAATTTATAAACAATAAAAGAATTTTTCGCAAAACGAAAAAAAATCATTTTTCGAAAAATCCAAACAATTGACAAACCATCTTTTCAACAATTTATTACCAGCCAAAGTTCCAAAACGCTGGCAACAAATCACATGAGATAGATGTTTTATTAATTTAGTTGTAAGCTCTAGAGTATAATGTCAACTCACGTCTGAGATGAGCCCCATCACCTTTATATTACAGATGAAGAACAAAATACTCAGAAACGACAACAAAAATAAAAAAAAATACACCTTAGAATGCTTTTAAGCAGTAAAAGGACTATTATGAAGACAATGAAAATCCAAGGATTCGAGACAAAAATAAATAAAAAGGGGCTACGAAAAAAAAAATATATATTTTTTTATACATATATTTTGTGGATGTAAATATGTATGTGTACAGACGATTACTGACTATAGCTCAAATGGAACGAGATGAAGTGGAGACACTAGAGTCCTTAATTTTCAAGGGTCCCACTGACTATCAATCCAGTCCATCGTTCCATTTTTTAATGAGATCGATTCACCTTCCAATTAACCATAATAAACATTATCTCGTAGTATTTTGAAAATTATATCATGTGTCAGAATAAATGAAGAAAAATATCTGGGCTGTATTTCTGATTTTTCGTATGTTTAATTACTGATAAGAAAAACAAGCAAATTATTGAACAAGATACTAATTGTTATTAACTGGTTTCCCCTAATATATATGTAAGACAGTTCATTAAGAACAGTTAAATATATTGAAATTTACTTTGATTATGAAATTTATAATATTGAGTAGACAGTCTTTTATTGAGATTAGAGGTAAAAATCCTACTCAAGTACTAGAGGTACAACAAGTGCTCAAGTTGTACGCAAGTGTTGTCATTTCGTTTGTGTTATGTAACCGGACTCGTGCGTCATCCCGGACCTTTCCACGACATTACACGTCAGCAGGACCTAACTTTGCATGATAATTTTTCCACATCGTGATAATTTGTTAAAGGTGGCTAAATCTTATAAGGAATGAATTAGAAAATTATTTATCCTTCATCAGTTAGTTATGGTGGAGGGAGTGTAATAATGATAGTTGAAATTAAATATCTAAAAGGCTTTTATTTTATTCTAAAATTCGAACAGACTTCTTTGAATAGAAAAAAGTTAAAAAAAAAATCAGATTAACAGGTTGATGTATATATATATATATATATATATATATATATATATATATATATATATATTATTATATTTTTATTTTTTTCGGTTGGCGGTACAGACCATTAAGATCTTTGACCGCGAGTGTGGTCTCTTAGACCGCATCCCGATTCCCGATTTAAAGTACGCGATTACAGCGTAGGTTCATCAATCCTACACTCGGTCAATGTGAGTTGCCTCCAGTAGACTGACGGGCCTCACATACCCGGAGGTACACGGGGTGGGAATCTCGGGCAGCGTGGCTTCCCTTTGTGGACGGTCACCCAACCAATTGCTAGCCACGCTCGGCGTTGCTTAACTTTGATTACCTATTGTAAACGCCTAGCCAGCAAGGCTACCCCAGCCCCATATATATATATATATATGTATATATATATATTTACAAAATTTCTTCAATTGACCTTTGAGTATGGTATTTTAATATAATTATTTAAATTGGTAATTAGATCAGTTAATAATCTACAAAATGTTCATAACGCTGCTGTCTTAAAGAAGAAATTCTCAGCTAGGGTTCGTATTTTACTCGGGTAAGTGGGTGATGACTGAATTAATGATCAGATGAGAGTTAGAGTTCAGAATTAATCATTTATTAAGAGCTTTGAGTTGAGAGGGATTACTCTTAATTTTTAAATACTTCCACTTTGCCCGTCATGTTTATCATAGTTTCTCGAATAATGGTATTAAATATTCCTATCATAATTATTATAATAATAAAATATCATTCCTTCTTTTTGCTGGGAAGCTAAATAATATTCCTTATTTTCGGCAATGAAAACTTCCAGATATATAACAATTGGTTTGTTTGTTGATTAACATGTTAAGTTGACGTTTCGGGAAAATTATTCCCATTTTTAAAACTTAAAATCCCATATTTTCGTAGCGATTAATGGCTAATATCTGATGTGCTCCTTTCTCATGTTTTGAAATTTATGTTATAAATAAAACAAATTTCAAAACATGACAAAGGAGCACAACAGACTTTAGCCATGAATCGGTATGAAAATATGGAATTTTAAGTTTTGAAGATGTTAATAGTTTTTCCGAAAAGTCAACTTAACCCGTAACAACAAATAAACAAATTGTTGTATATCTGGAATTTTTATTGCCGAAAATAAAGAAAATATTATTTATTATGGTACAAGTTCATTTAGAATAATATTAGTTAAATTATCTGTGAATATTTTTCTTGATCGTTTACAAGTGTAATATGATTAATTTAATATTAGTCTGGCTAATATGATTAATTTAATTTTACTTTCTATGTATTCTATTTACCAGGGAATATTTCATTTCACCGTTTCTTACCAGTTTTTAATATTTTTATGTTTGTAATTTTTTTTATAACTAGTATATAAAAGTAATAATATAAATAATATAAAAGTAGGTATTTATTTTAATGTCTGCTTATGAAATTGGGTTACTGATTAGAATTGATCATCATTTTTGTCTGTACTTCTTAAGGTGGGCTTAGACATTTCACAAACTGTGAGACAAACAAATATACTAATGGTTATATTTTTGTTTCTTGTTTTTGATATTTTTCATCTGACGTCGGTTTCAAGAGAATTTTTTTTTTTTATCTTATTTATTGAAAAATATTACAATCTGTCTCTAGGACAATTATAATAGAGTTCACAGATCACATTCACACTCTATGTATAATAAATAGAAAATTATACAGAAAAATAATGTATATAAAATAAATAAGAATAAAATAACCTAAAAATAAATAAATAAAAAGAACACATACACACCTTTTTTTTTTTTTTTTTTGTTCTTCCCTACCTCGCCTTTTAGGCTATACGGGATTTTCCCGTGCCGGGGGGTGAGGGCGGGGAAATTTAAAATCCCCTCCGGCACCGGGACGCGAACTCGTACTTTTTATATCATCTCAAATCTCTGTTATCCGGTTGCCAGGCAACTAGCGGTGCTGTTACACACGCTTTAGCCTATTCGGCCACCCCGCCCCCCCCCCACACACATACACACCTATATATCAAGAGAAATTAAATAAATAGTTTAGTTTAGCAATAATGTCACTGTTAGTTAAGTAAGATAATTTCCTTTCCCTTCCCCATAGTTTGTGAAATGTTTAAACGCAACTTTAAAGGACATAGTCTCACAATAAAGTTGATTTTTTTTCTATTGTATATAACTGGTTCGGAGATGATCTGATTGGTCGGATTTGGAAGTGGAAAGGGTATCGGAGCGACTAGAGGGACAAGGATCGAGAAGGAACATTTTCCAAATGTCATAAAATATCTGATTATATAATTTGTCTGAAAAAGTTTCTTCCTGTCAATTTTAACTAAATCTTACAAGATATTATGTAATACATAACAGTTACAGTTGATGGAGAGTTAAACAAAGGTGAGCAACATATAGAGAAAGTAAACTTTTATATATATCGGACATGTTAGTTCTATTAAACAACAAACAGAAGAAATAAGCAGGCGATGTACTCAGGAATGGCGCGCACTTTTTAAGTTTAAAGAGATATATAGATCCATGGTGATCTCAGAGGCCAAGAGAAAACTTTGGGTGAGCACAATACTTCTGGTCATCATCTACTGTTACGAAACATGAGTAATAGCTCAGAAGACTTGCAGAAGAAATTGGGGGCAGCAGTCAGAGGAATGGAGTGATACCTGCTTGAAATATCAAGAAGAGATCGGAAATCCAATAAATCGATCAGTGCAAAGACTGACCTATTGTTGAAGAGGTGCACTTAAGGAAGTAGACCTAGACTGGACATTTCATTAGGAGGAATGTTATGATATGGACCAGGTTGTGTAAGTACTGGTATCCAAGAGACCACGCAAGAAATAGAGGACGCCCACCGACAAACTGGGGCAAGATGAAGAAGTCCTGTGGAGGAGCAGGCTTGCAGAGAGTAGCATCGGAGAAGTTTAAAGAAGTGGTGAAGTGGAGACGGATGGGACAAGTTCACTACTTAGTGTGGTAGAAACAATCGAACTCAAAACCTCAACTAAAATGTTAATTATGTACATATCAATCAAATTGTAAAGTTTATGTATATATTGTTATGGACATATGTGATAAATAGTCAGGACGCAGTCATTTTTAAGGTTTTTATTAGTGCCGACGTTTCAACCCATACAGGTGGGTCATCATCAGGGCGTGTTTAAAGCACTAAAGGTATTCAATTACTGAACTACCATACGCAGTTCTTTAAAAATGACTATTTATCATCTATGATATGTAGAACAGTAGACTGACTCCCTTCAATTTCTATGTACAAATAAAGTTTACCTTGGGAATCAACGTTAGTTAATACATTCTTATTATTCCTATATTAAAATGTATGTTGTTAATAATAGGTACTGTGAATAAGTAAAGAATTTAAAATAAAAATAAGATGGAATATTAAGTATACAAGTACTCCAGTACAAATTCAATTGAATTAATTGTAACTCTCAGCTCAAGCCTGGGAAATATTTATTAGGAGCCAATGTACACAGATCTATGACTAAAAGGAATAATATATTAAACACTGTGAACCCAGAGCGCTGTTTTTTTATTTCTTGTTAACATAGCTGTCTGGATAAAATAGTAACAAAGGTTTATTATTTAGAAAGTTTTGAGACAGAACACACAAGGAACTGTGGTATGTGCTCACCACCGCTGCAGTCTCAGGTGGTCAGCTTTCAAAGGAGAAAGAAGTTATTTTTAAAATATCAACTATTTATTTTAGATCCTTTTTTGTAACCTTGTCATTATTTGAAAGGCTCCTTATAGGGTTGTGTGTCGTAAACGAAATATTAGTTCATAAGAAAAACTACTAATAAAGTTTATTAGTAGATTGTCCAATGAGAACTGTTACTTTAGGTAACTGTTTCTCTTACTGATATATTCGACGTATAAGCGAATTTAGCTAAACGTGTTTATTCGTATCTTGTAAATAATATTATCAAGGTAATCTATTCCACACAAGCAATCGATTAAGATGATTCTTTACCACTGCTGTTAAATGAATGAATGAAAAATTGATTTTATTCTGGGACAGCAGTCCGCAAAGAATAATAACAGAGTTACATAATTATGTTTCTTAATCTGGCTTAGAAGAACACAAAAATATGCCTAATTAACTGTTGATTGCTATTGCGAATGTGTAGTTGATTTAATTATACAGTTTATAGACGCATTTATTTAGATGTTTGCAGAAGTTTGCATATGGAGTAAGTGGTAGAAAAGGAATCGTTTGAAGGAGTTTGTGGACGTGGTAGAACAAATAACCAAGGATTCACTAAAGGAACTAGTTTTATGAGAGGATATATATATATCTATAGCTTGAGATCTGGTATTGAGAGAGTGGATAGAGGAACGTAGAGTAAGGAGTTCCAGGGTGTTGGGAGGGTTTGGTTCTGAGGAATTGGAAAAGGAAAACACCAAGAAGGAATTGCCGTCGGGAAGTAGGATAAAGCCACTTCAGCTTGGTGTACCAGAAGGAATCATAAGAACAACTAGGGATCCCAAAGATGTATCTTATGAAACAGTTCATGAGTCTCTTCAATTTAAAGTGATAATTTAATTTATAAATGAATAGCTTGTCCCAGTGATAAATATCCCTCCAGTTTAATAGTTATGCAGTAACACACAGTTATCTCAGAACTTATACTAAGCCATTATTGTACTTGTGCAAGACCTTTTTGTACCAACAGATATGCATTGGTTTGTAGTTGTCTCACTAGCCGTACATTAGTCTATTTATTACTGAGAGTACAGAGGCCATACCTGGATATATTCTATTTATTAAAAATGTCATAAAGTTTCTTTCTGTATTATCCGAAGTGTCGAATGGACCAAAGACATATTTTCAACCATTTACTTTTCCTAACCTAATCTTGTGATGAATATCCCACGGGAACTATAGCATCTGAAGCCTAGTACAAACATGTTGCGTAACATTTTGACAGTGTTGACGTCTTTCGGCGTCTAGGGGCGAGGTACGCCCTAATTAGCTAGTATCGAAGCTATAGAGTGGTGTGGTTCGTCAATTTATCCTTCCAATCATTAGAAGAAAATCTTCCAAATCACTTGGGGTCAGCAGTGTGAAATTTCGAAAACCCATGGCATCTTCCGGTCTCAATTTACTTAATAATGCATTACCAAATTTGGTTCCATCTGTGAGTACTTAGCACGTCCATCAACGTTTACATTTTCCGTTCTTTCAGTTGTATTTAGTACTGAGCAGGAACTCATATCACACAAAACTAAGTCCTCCATGCTTGATGGCGAAGATATGGCTGAGAAATTCATATCGTAGTGTGGATGCGAAACGAAACAAAAAACGGTGTCTCTAGACGGTACATTGACAAATCGCGCAACATTGCCTAGTAGTGTGTACAAGGCTTTAGAGACTTTCTGAAAGAATTATGATTAATCTCGATAACGGTATATTTTTTGGCTCTAAAACATATGCCCTTCTTTTGAAACTGAACAAGATATTGATATCCGTTTTAAAATACAATTAATCCGTTTCTGAATTTTTTTTTTTTTCTACACCTTCCTTGCCTATACTTTTTTTTCCCGGGCCCAGATGTGAGGGCGGGAATTAAAAGCCCTCTCGTCACTGACTTAATTTCGAAACCTCACATTTTTTTTTTAATTTTGACCTTTTTGTAGTTGTTATAAGGTTTTATCTTTTGACATTCATTTTCGTCACTTCTCCATGAAATCCTCTTTCGTATAATAACTCATTTATCAAAATTTATCGCTGTTGAGAGCCGAATTTAATATTCTATCTAGAGATTTATTATACATAGTGTAGATTAAACAGTTCTAGAATATGACTGTTGGAAAATTAGAACTTCATCACCCATCTGCTTCAAATGATTTGAAGGCAGTTTGGCTACGTGATATCAACCCTTAAAAAGAGTTTATGGTACTAACTATTCCTATCTGCATGTTGTTTGGTTGGGTATAAATTTGTTATGTTCAATGAAGAATGGTCCCATTCATTGGCAACTCTCTATTCCGAACTCTTCTGAATATTTCACACATAGTGGACCGCCGAATGTACTAGCTTCAACTAATAACAGAATTTAGCGTTTGAGCCAGTTTCTCCAGAGACTTATTCGACATGAAGGCCCTATAAAATGTAATTAATGTATTGAGAAGAAAAAAACAAACATATTAACCGTTAAACTGAACGTTTAATGAAAACAATAAGCAATGAAAAAAAAATTAATGGCTTATAATATATTTTTTATATTAATAAAGCAAATATTGAGATATTTGTCCGGGAATTAATAAAGGTTTATGGTTGTAGAATAAAACAAATCACAAAACTAGTTTTAGTTTTATCAATAAAAATACGCTCAAATAATCGCAATGTTGGTAACCTTTCTGAACAGGATGTTGAATCGTTTTGTTAAAAAATTATGATAATGAAATTTCTAACAAATTTTGATCAATAAAATTCTGGCATTTTAAAAAGTGGTCCAGATGTATAAATAAAAAAGGTCGTCCACAGGCGTGAGGTCTGGTGAACTGGACGGGAAAGATTTGTTACTGTTTCGGCAGAGAAGTGCAGCGCAAACTTCTAACGAAGATCTTTTTTGGTGGTAGTTTAATGGACGAGGAATCCAAGTGTAAGTTTTTTTTACCTTTCCAATTGCGTTGAAGTGGACAGCAATGGTCTGTTTGGTCCAACTCAGAGTTTATCTGCTAGTTCTCGAACAATTGTTGAGGGATTTTCTTCGACCGAATCTTGCAGAACGTTCTCATCAAAAAAAGTTCTTCTACGACTATCTTTGCCTTCAAGGCTGAAGTTTCCCTACATAAATTTGTTTAAATATCGTTGAAACATCTTGTTGTTTTCTTTTTCAAGTTCTCAGAAGCAAAACCCCTCCCTGCATCTTAGAACGCTCCTCTATCCACTCTCTCAACACTAAAACTCAACCTATAGATTTATATATCCCCTCTCATAAAACCACTTCCTTTAGTAAATCCTTCGTCATTCGTGCTACCTCCTTATGAAACTCCTTACCCATCTCCATACGTCAAACCACGTCGATACTCTTTCAAACAACTCCTATTCCACCACCTACTACAAATTCAAACTTCTGCAAGCTTGTAAAAATTTCTGGGTTATATAATTAAGTTGGTTGATAGAAGTCATTTTATTTATTTTTTTTATATCTCAGTATTTATTATATATATCTGTATTTATCGTTAGTATGTTTTGTAGATATTTATATTTTCCTTTGTATTTTTTTTTCTATATTTGTATTTTCCTTAGTGTCTTTGTGAGTATATACATATGTGCCTACAATATCCTAGGTATTTTTTGTGTATATTTGTATTTAATTGATACTTACATGCCAGACTAATGTATATATTTTGTAAACTCTACTATTATTCAAAGAGGACTTCAGTAACAGAATAAAATTATTTTTCATTTCATTGAACGATGCACTAACATCACCATAATTCCACACTTCATGAGATATTATTTCTGGCCGTTTAGACCCAATTACGACCGAGTTTAAACTAATAAAACGAAATCATGTTTTGATATCTTAGTAAAGACTAAAGTATTTCCAACTAGTCTGAAATGATACAAAAAAAAACCAATACTTTTGTTGAAAGAAGATTAATAAGTTTTTACACTCATTCGAAAGAATAATCCCTAAAATGTAAACAGTTTGTAATATAGATGGTTAATGTAAAGTACACATGAAATCCTGCAATTTTTTTTTTCGGACAAGCCGATATTAATGAAGCAAATATTGTATTAATAATGTTTTACCAGAACAAAGTAAATTGATCACCTGTGGAAACAATTAGATGAAATTATATTTTCATAAATTATGTAGCTTATTTTTATATAATTTTCTCTCCGAGCATTATATAAAATGCACTTATTTATCAAATAAGGATTTATTAACTTTTTTTTATTCAAAATAAATCTATTAGCGTGTTATTATATAATTTTT